ATTCGTTTTACAAAATGCATGCAATTTAAGTTCATTAATACTCCTTATTGAGGGTGTGAATGGGGTTAACCGACTAGCGAAAAAGGGCAAAAAATATTACTGACTACCGACAAAATGAGTAAAAAATTACCGTCTACCGACAGGGAAAATATTAACCGACTACCGACATGGGCTGATATTATCAATATTTGTTTTCAGAAAAAAGAGCATTTTCCATTTTTTTTTCTAGCCGTTAGGAAGTAATCTCTTTAAATTTATGACTCATCAGATGGCCTAAGGGAAAGAATTCCCTTTTTTTTTTTTGATAATACCGGTACATACCTTAAAGATGCTAACGACTTTATAAATTTTATTGAAAAGTCAAAGGCGAAAAAACCGAACGTTTCTTGTTTCGGTCCGAGAAATGCTTAGATTAATCCTCAAAGAAAATTTTTTTCCTGTTTAAGGGAAAGCACTATCATTACAAACCCACGGTACCGCGATGAGCACAAAGACAGCAGTTTCCTTTCCAACTTTTTCATGGCATATATTGAAACACAAAGTTTAAGCAAAACCGTCTTTAAACCAACTGTTTGAAAACGCTACGTAGATGACATTTTTTCCCTAAGGCATGATATAAGTAAGCCAGACATCGTAGCTTTCTTCGCGGAACAAGTAAACTTACATCACCCTACTATGAAATTCACGGCCGAAATATCTGAAAATATAACAATACAATACAATACAATACAATAAGAGTTTATTGTGAAAATACACTTAGCTACAATAATGGTGTGCTTACTCAGACGGGACCGAAATCGGGGTCTGTGAAAGCACGCCAGCTAATTTACAGGTATTCCACAAACACAATAAAATTAAGAGTTAAAAAACTAGATATGGAATATTCTATAATTAAAATTATAACAATAAAATCTTAATAATACATACATACATACATACATACATACACTTTATTGATGCTCCCTAAGTGGGCTTTTCAGCTCAATAGAATAAAAAAAAAATACAAATATATAAATTAATTGAGAATGTAAATACAATAATATTATAATTACAAAATATATATCAATAATATAATATAATATATCAACTTAATAAAACATTTGCAAGATGACGTCTAAAATTCCTGGGGCATTTTAAGGACTTAATGTTATCATTCAAGGAGTTCCAGAGTTTGGCTTCTCTGAAAGCAAAGGAGCGCTGCCCTGTTGACAGGCGACATAAAGGTATATCCAAAGCACCAGATGATCGAGTTTGTCTATTATGGACATGAGAACGTGATTTAAACATATCAGCAAGATAGTCTGGAACAAGCTTGTTAATACATTTGTGCATCATAGTAGCGTCATTTAGAATGAGTTTCTCTCTAATAGGAAGCCATTTCAACGATCGCAACCCATCCGAAATATGGTCATACTTTCTTAGTCCCAGAATAATTCGCCCAGCAAAGTTTTGGACTTTTTGTAACTTGTCAATATTGCTGCTGCTGGTATTACTCCAGATAAGTATATCTTATATCTAAATAAATACTAAATTCAATAAAAAATGAGACATTCTTTTTAGAAACGGTTGTATACCAAGGCAGAACATTCAGCGACAAATGAGAAAAAGCTATCCAATACATTTTCACCTCTTATCATCCACCAGTTGTTAAAGCGCCTGTTTGACAAATGAGAAGCCTTGAAAATCCTACGAACAAAGTCTGAGGAAGTATTTCAGATTTCAAAAGCGCTTGATGGACAGAGGCTAGCCACACAATTTTGAAAGAAAAATTGCTATTAGAAGTAAAACTCACAGAAAGGAAGGCAGCTCTCCTGAAGCAAAACAACAAGGAAGAAGAAGAAATATTGCCTTTCGTGGCCCAATATAGCCCTTAGTGTCTATTATAAAAGAAGCTTTAATGAAAAAGTGGAATCTCATACAAAACCAACCACTACCTTGCCAAAATTTAAAAGAACCACATAAAGTGCTATTTCTTTGAGAAAGGAAAATTACGGCAAAGGACATACTTGTTAGAGCCAAAACATAAGAGGGATAGATGTGTAGCCTGTCACCCCTTGCAGTTTTTCACTGAAAGTAATTTAAGTATCCAAAAGGCTAGAGTCCATTAATTAATTAATTAATTAATTAATTAATTAATTACTTTTTACTGTGCCCTGTAGTCGACAGGAAAACCAAGTTCGCATTTACAATAAAAGCTTTGGTGATTTTATCAGTACTATATTCATTTGGCAAACAATGGAAATAAACGATCATGTTGCATAAACAAACAAGAGTTAATGAACGGTTTAGGTGCAATCAAATGAGGCATTCTTACAAGTTTTGCTATTTCCTTAGGGATCAAAGTCTTGAAAAGTGGGTGAAATACATAAAAAATATTAATAATTAACAAGCGTTTTTACTTATTAACTGAGATTTTCCGAAAACCGACAAAAATCGAAAAGTTTTACCGACTACCGACAAAGATTGAAAATTTTAACCGACTACCGATAAAATTACTGAATTTTAACCGACAACCGACAAGTGGACCCCCCCCCCCCCATTCAGACTCTCCTTATTGGCTGGATAAGACAGGCGTTATAGCTGAGCCCGAGAACAGATAATCATGGGTTAAAGGAAAAATAGTAATATATTATAGTGTAAAATCAACAACATGAGAAGATTAAGAAAAACATTCATTTTATGATTTTCCACTGACTGGAATTAATCAAGTCCGAATTCTAAAAGGAAAACGCCGTTCAAAGAGTTTTTTGTATGTATGGATAACGTGACTCGAGCGCTTCAATAGGACATTATAACTGTGACATATATTTAACAATTAATGAATGATTATGTATACCTAATAGGTTTTACTGCAGTCACACCTTTAAATCTTATTTGTGTCATTTCTCTGGTGAGTTCGTCATTACATTAGAACATTCGGAACTTTTTCCGGTTTTCCGATCGATATTATAGTAGGATTCTCATCCTGACCTCCTTCAGAGCATTTTAGTATTGCAGACATAACAGGCCGGTCCTCAATAGATTTTTTGGGATTTACGAGATTTACCTTATTTGTAGGCCAGGATTAGGGTTCACGTTTGAAGGGGAGATTCTGCATTAAAGGCATGCACGAGATCCGAGTGGAATGTCGAAAATAACTATGATCGGGATTACGGGATTGGGCAAAAATTTGGGTCGGGATCAGATGAGGGGATGTTCCATGATTGGAGACCCTGATGTAACAACACAAAGAATTAGATTCCACCAAGTATTGAAATTGCTCAGGTAAAGAAAATTCAATTTCTGTAAAAAGTTTCGCACTTTGCTAAGGAAATACTGATTAGCGACATGAACTCTAGACTTACTAGCAAGGCAAAAGGGAAATTATATTTAGCGTGCGCACAAATTCAATTTCCAAGTGTACTTCGATTATTTTCAACTGTATTATTTCAACAAACAAGCTTAAAGACATGTTAATTGGGTTTTTTGGCTAAGGGTTAAGGCAGTTTCTCGGCGATAAACCTCTGGTGTTGTTTAACTCTAACAAAAGAATATTCAACATTGATTAAAATATAGTTTTTATAGAATAATCGAGTTTTGGGGAGTGACTGTTCTTTTTTACGTTCGGTTTAATATTGTGTGTTTTCATAGTTTTATCATACCTTATTGTGAAAGGTTATTGTATCGGCATGGGCATAAGCAAGGCCTCCTAAGTTTCAGCTACTTGACGTGTCTTTAATTTTATTACGCTATCAAATTACAGAGTCTTAATGAACATTGTTTGCATACACCTGTTTTCTTTAAAGATATATGCAAGTCTGGATATTTGAAAAGCCTGTTTCCTTTGATAACAGCGCACGAACCCAAGTTCGAAAAATTATAATTACGTCATCGTGAGAAGCAGTGGAAGAAGTGGCCTTGCTACCGACTGAAACGATTGTCTTCGCTTTTTCGTCTTTAAAATGATTAGTAATAGGGTTCGTCCAATCTTAATCAATTGTACAATAGTTGCTTCAGGTCACACATACCTTCGGCTGTTAAAAACTCCCTAGGAAACCCTCAGTCTTTAATTCAGGGCTAAATTCGATTTGTATTACTTGGAATTATCCTCGTGTACCGAGCACAATGTAGAAAAAGAAACTATTTGAAAAGAGCTGTCATCGAATTTCCCTTACGTGCGAAGAGTAGGTAGAATTATAATAGTAAAACGTGATACAATTGGACGTTGCGAAAGATGCATAATATTCATCATTCGGGGAGTATAAAAGTAATTAAAATGAAAAAATATTGACATTTTGGTAACTACAAAATAACAAAGGGAGTATAATATTAGAAATAGTTTTTTATAGAATTAGTTCGAACTGAAATGAAGGCCTTAAAGTTCGTTTTACAAAATGCATGCAATTTATTTTCATCAATACTCCTTATTGGCTGGACAAGACAGGCGTTAGTAGCCCGAGAACAGATAATCATGGGTAAAGGAAAAATATTAACATATTATATATTCTGTAAAATCAACAACATGAGAAGCTGAAAAAAACATTTATTTTATGTAATATTTCGATTACGGAACATTTTCCAGCGACTGGAATTAATCATGTCCGAATTCTAAAAGGAAGAGGCGGTTCGAAGAGTTTTTTTGTATGTATACATTATAACTGTGACGTATATTTTAGCTTAATATTCAAAAAATTTTTGTTCTCGCTCATTGCTTTCTTATAACTCAGGGCGACACACAGATAATAGTTTTGAAATGCGTCAAGCCTCTATCCCTCGTTTCTACATGAGCAACTTAAGTGAGTGGTGATTTTCTTAGCACAGGGGAGTATGATGTATTCCAGGAAGTAACTTAGCGCTCTATTCCGTATACGCCTTCAATTATCGATGATAAAAGTGCTACCCTAGATTTTTGGGCTTCATTATTGTTTAAGGGTAAAGCAGGGTGCCCCAAGATCAATTCAAGGTTATGAGAAAGACAATAACAATAACAATATCAAATATATATATGCAATGACATTATATCTCAGACCCGTTTGAAATGTTGCACTGAAGTGCAATGTTGGTCTTTGGCAAAGCAACAGCACAACTCGTTTCGAATAAAACTAATCACCAAAGAGCTGTTCTTCGATACCCAGCAGAACAATCGACTTGGTAAACTCCGTGCCGATAATCTCTTGTAGGAGGGTACTGTCTTTACGTTTTTACTGATAGTTCCACGTGAGTGAAATCGAACTCTCTGAAAAGGGATTTTTTAATCACGAAGGCTGCCATACAATGCATGCATTTTTTTACAATACGGATATTGTGTTCGTGTAACCCCAATTATCATAATGGCAATTATTTGTTGGTTATCTAAATCATGACTTATGCAATGACCATGCGCCCCGATAGATTTTCCTCTTTTGTGTTGTTGTAAGCGGTTTTAATTTTCTTCCTTATCATAAAAACTGTATACACCGTCACACCTGAATTTTGCATGATCAATAAAGAACCCTCAGTGCCATCGAGATGCTGATTCAGCCTGGTGAGAGTAAATAAATGTGTAAACAGAAACAAAAGATAGTGCAGAGTCAAGGAGCTCTCAACAGCTGTTATTTCTGCCTTTGATATTTGTGGGGTTTCATAAGCAGTCTCCTCTTTTGACTATGTCTTGATCATATAATTTTAAAGTTAAGATGGATCAAAAAGCCAAATTTCTTAGCAAATGTTGGCCTTAATTGTCTTGTCCTCCCCCAGACGCCCTGAAAAAATATACGTTCCCGGACATTTGCCAAAACCCCAGCAATAGCTCAATAATAATGGTCCATTGGAATTCTTTAGAAAAACACTACGTGATCAGAGCCGTAGTTAGCGGAGAGGCAAGGGGGGCAGCTGCCCCCCTCGGACCTGTTGAGATAGACACATCAAGTCTATGGATGGATTTGTTTTCTTTAGACTCAGTTATTTTGATTATAAAGTGACTTGCAATTGTTTGCCATTTTCATATTCGAGGTCGATTTTCCGGAGACATATCTCATGACAAGTGCTGAAAATAGCGTTTCGGAGCCTCCAAATTGAAAACTTTCTGGGGGAGGATACCCCCAGACCCCCCTACAAGGTTCGTGCCTTCGGCACTCGCGATAATTTACCTCGTTACAAAAAACCTAGCCACAGCCCTGGTGATATTTAAATCCGATCAGAGCAGGGTAAAATTTAAATTAGGTCGCTAACGCCTTTTCGTGGAGTAAGATCGTTTCAGATTGGCTTTGATCCCCCTAAGCTTAAGATGTGGGCGATATACAATCGCGGATTTAAGCTCGATTATATTGGTAATTGGCCTGTTCACAGTCCTCTATTTTTTACATACTAGATCATCAGGATCGAGAGCTTACTGGTATGGGCGGCTATCTTGGATCCATAACCGTCCCCCGCCCCCTAAGTAGATTTGACACTCATCCCCAGGCTAAACTAAAAACATTCGAAACCAAGATGGCCGCCATAACGCAAAGCCCTCGATCTCAAAGATACTTATGGAAAAAATGGGGAGCTGTCAATAGTCCAATTACCAATGGCGATCCCAACCTCGTTTCTAGTAAGCGGTGCGGCAGCCCAAAAGTTTTGCCTAGAGTGCAGAACTCACTCACTGAACGAAAAACAATGCATAAATACGGAAAATATATATTCAGCTCGTTGTATTTTTTTTGTGAGGAATGGCAGATATCTTGGAGGGTTTTATCAACCTCGGCCTTCGGCCTTATGGAGGATAACATCCTTCTCAATCAATTTTTTTTTTCATATCATACTCAGCTTGCCTCATTCATTTGTTTTAAAACATTCGAGTGACTGGTTTTCTGCGTTGGTCGAGTCAGTTTTACTATATCTTAAAGTTTCAGTAATTAACTGGCTTTTCAATTGTATTTAATTTATTAATAAAATTATTTAAACAAGATCTAACATTGTTCTTAATAATAAATACAAATTATTCATGACGCTGATATTTTTCATAGCAATCCTCATAAAGAAAGCGAAAAAAAAGGAAATTAAAATCGAAACTTTTTGCATTGATGACTAGATAACTACCTTCATTAATTTATCTCAATAACATTTTCAGGTTAAACTACTAATCGCGGGGCGAGTACTGAAAAGCCTGTTAGTTAAGATATCTACGTACATGGATAACTCAAGCCACGTTGGAAACGAGCCTTGCTCTCAGGCAGTTTCTATTGTCTTCACAACAGTGTTGGCTATAACAGTTTGGATGCGTTTATTGGCAACATTTTAGTGATGACGGTGGTTTACAAGACCCCAAGCCTTAGAACAAGCACCAACTACTATTACGTCAACATGACGGTGTCAGATTTCCTTTCTAGTCTTACATTATGGCCACTATACCTCACTGACGAGATAATAACACAGCGAGGAAGCCTGATTAAAGGCCCAGTGGCCACTGTCGGGTGTAAAGTTGGGGTGTACGTGAGGGTAGTCTCCACCTCAGTCTATATTCTCAGTTTGGTGTTGATTGCAACCGACAGATACTTTGCTATTGTATTTCCCTTAAAACTTCAATTCTACTGTCACGAAGAGTTAGAATAACTGCGCTAGTAGCAACGTGGGTAATATCGATGGGCTATTGCTTCCCCCAAGACGTGGGAGAAGAGCGTTTCTGAAGATTTGCATGGAACGATAGTGGTGGTCTTATAATCTATTACGTCAGTGGAATTTCTATGATTAATGTTGCGCCCCTAATGGGGATTGTGATTTTGTATTCTCGTATTATGCAAGCATTAAGGAAAAAATCAATGCAGGACCCCTTTCTGACACAAATTCAAAAGGCAAAAGATGCAAGCAATTGCAACACATTATGAAAACATTCAAATCAATTGTGATAGCCTATTCTGCCTGCTTTTTTATTTTTTGCGTTTATTTGATTTTAAAGATGACTTTCCCTGCAATTTTCATCAAGGATAAATGTAAGTGGATTCTCGGCTTTTCCTATTTTGTTCTTCCGTTGCTCAACACAGCAATGAACCCAGTCATTCTTTTCTGTTTTAGTTCCAATTTCCGTCACGCCTTGCAAACCTTGTGGCCATTTCGGCGAACCAATTTCTGTTGTTCATGTTTTAAGGGAAGAAAGGCAGAAGGGCCCAATTAGACAAAACGAACACGTGCAACTACAGCACTGTAGTGGTACTGTAATAATACACTGTCAGGTATGTGGGAAACACGATACTTTTCTTGCTGTTTATTGCACTTTATTAAATAACAGTTATTTAGGTATATATTTATAGCAAACAACAACACAAAAAAAGGAAAAAAAAGAAAGAAGAAGAAAAACAGTTGAGTAGGACTCGACCCCGGCATTACGTAACGTACGCATTATGTAACACATGCTCTTCAACAGTACCTCAATAAGGACCTTAAGATACCCTGGACGGGGTGGTAAAGAGAACGTGGGTTTGCCGGAGAAAGCCTGGAGCGAGGACACCGCCAAAACAAATTATGTTTGAGCAGGATAATGTAATGCTTTCGTGTCTTTTAGAAAAACCCGTGAAGTCTTGCTTGATTGATATCTTATTGATCTTTTATTGAAAGAAAAATATGTGCTGCCGGCTATGACTCCAGTTTCTCTAAAATTCCCCGAATTTCTTCGAGGGAAATCGGAATTCGGGTTATTAGCTATCTGTTCCCAGACCTTTCCCCTTTCCGTTGTTCTTGCTGTTAAAACAATATGGTTCTGTTATGAGAGCTTCCCGTGCTAAGACGATTTTGATCTTCAGACCGCTCAAGCGCTAAACTGAAAGTGAACAAAATAAAATATTTATTATGAAAGATAAATGAACCATGGCGTCTTGTTCAAGTTCTCAATTTTCTCCGACATGTTCAAGTTTATTACAAGCCTAGATATTTGTTTTCCAACAATTTTTATTCTTCTCGTCTCTTGAATTTTTCAAATACTACCCTACAGCGAGAACGTTGCCCCCTTAAAAATAAGCAGTTATAGTGTTACATTTGGGTCACAAGACTCTGCGCTTTCATTCTCAGTTGCCGCCAAAACACTGAACCCAAAAGGCTTGATAGCAAAAAAATAAGAGTCAATCTCAAGAGAACATCACACTATTCTGTATTTTTGTATTTTATTTTTACTCCATCTTATAAAACATTAGTTGTACAATAATAATAATAATAATAAAAGAAGAAAATTAGAATGGAGAAGGGCACATTATAGTAAAACTAATCATGGCCCTTTAACAAGATTGAAAATCACACTAAAAACACTTAAATGTGTCTCTTGAAGTGAAATGGATCGAAAATCCTGAATGAAAAGCAATTTCTGCACTGAAAACAAGAAACCCAACTCACCGTTTAACGAGGCGGCCAAACTTCTAGTTTTCGCCGTCGCGACTTCAGGTCGACGCTGTGGCATTATGCTAATTAGTTCCAAAATGAACATTTCAGTTCCAGTTGAAGTCCTCCTCGGCCGCGTCCAGAGTATCTTCCCTAATAACTGTGACGCATATTTTTGCTTAACATTCAAATAAGAATTGTCCTCTCCCATTGCTTTCTTATCAATCACACAGACAATAGATCTGAAATGCAACAAGCGTCTGTTTCTCGTACATGAATAACTGAGCCCAGGGGAGTTTGATGCATTGCATAGTTGGTCTATTTCCTACGCAGTAATATTATCAATGATGAAAATGCTATCCTGAATTTTCAAGACATAGCATTTTTTAATGGTGGCACAGAGAGCCTCCAGGTCAATTCGGTTTAACGCAGAACACGCCGATGACCCAGGTCCGGAAAAAGTTTTGAACGAACTATTATTTTTCCTGTCCACAACCCGTTTACACGAGGCCGCTTTGCCGTTCAAAAACTTGCACTGTACCGCGGGTCGGTGTGTTAACGAAAGGTGGATCCGTACAGGTTTTTGTCCGTTCAAAAATTTTTCCACACTTGTGTAAACGGGATCTAAGGCTCGTCTGAAGTGGCGGACTGGTCGAAGCAGGTGTCGCTACGGCAAAGCACTGAACAGCACAACTTATTTGAAAGTACCCGGAGAGCTCTGCTGTGATACACAACAATTGATTTGGTAGACGCGGGCAGATAATCTTTTGTCGAGGTAATCTGTAAAATTTCTATTGTGACATTTCGATTTCATGTAGTCGAACCTTTCTGTCAGGCTACTAGTGAATTGAATTTACAGGTATAGATCGACTTTCGTGGGATTTTATATCACGAGGGCAGCCATGCAATATATGTGTTTTTAAAATGCAGATATAGTGTTCAATCAACATGTAACGGATAATAGATGATAATTTATATGAATGTGCCCTGGCTATGAAGCCCGATACTAGATAATTCTCTCCTTTTAATTGTTTTTGTTATCGGTTTTCTTCCTGATCGTACTAAGGCCATGTCCAAACGAATCCAGACATTTTTGAAACCGAATATTTTTTGTCCGGATTCCTGTGGACGTGGGACGGTTAAACCTCTCTTACAAAAATGCGGTTTCGGTATCCGAATTCACTGGTTTCGTGTGGACGGAGGGCCGATTCGTGTAAAAAACTATGCGGTTTAACAAATATCCTGATTCGTGTGAACATGGCCTTGCCGTACAGTCACGCCTGATTTCTACATGACCATTTGAACCCTGTGCCACTGTGATGGTGATACAAGGATAACGTGTAAACAAACAAAAGCAAAAGAAACAAACAAAAGATTATGCATTCAGAGTCAAGGAGCTTCCAACAGCTGTTATGTTCGCAATTGAATTTTTGCCGGCTTTCATAAGCAGTCTCCTTTATAACATTAACTTTAAGTGTGTAGCTTAAGATTAATCAATTTAAAACCCAAGCTAGATAAAAACAAAAGCCAAACTGCTTTGAAATTTTAACTCCTAAATGACTTGCTAATGGTTCAAAAAAAGGTTTTAAGACCTCCTTCAAATGCGTCAAGCCTCTGTCTCTCGTTTCTACATGAGCAACTAAAGTGTGGTGATTTTATTAGCACAGTGAGTATGATGTATTCCAGAAAAAAATATTAATATATTATAGTGTAAAATCAACGACATGAGAAGCTAAAGAAAAACATTCATTTTATGTAAATAAATATTATTTTCCACTGACTGGAATTAATCAAGTTCGAATTCTAAGAGGAAAACGCGGTTCAAAGAGTTTTTTTGTATGTATGGATAACGTGACTCGAGCACTTCAATAGTACATTATAACTGTGACGTATATTTAACAAGAATCGCCGAAAGGCGATTTTTAACTGGGCTGCAAAGGGGCTATTTTTTCTGAGGGGAGGGGGCGGCTATACACACTCAGGCTACCATAAAACCTTGTCGGCAACCATTGCATGCAACAGAATCTCATGTGAGACTGAAACATAAACTCATTCAGAACATTGTACCCTTTTGAAAGACTTTCGTAACCAAAAAAAAGAGTACCATTTTTAAGTGGGGGCTGTATAATAACTTTTAAATTCCACCATTATGAGTAAAAATAAACAAATTAGCCATTAATTCTAAACGGGAAACAATTTGCATTATTTCCATGCACCCCTCCCCCAATCCCTCTGTGCCCCAAAATATAGCGTGACAGTATAACGTGACTAATTTGACGTAACCGGAAATTCCAAAAATTGTTGTCCTTCTACGAGCATAAAATGCGACAGATTGAGCTGATTTACGCTAGACAGAAATATTCTGTTGTATGAAAACCAGAAGTATACTAAAACAGACAGTTAACTGCCCATTGATCCCGCCTGATCCAAGAGCCTCACTGACTGCACGGAGACTTTACTGCGCTTTTCACAAACATGCGAACTCTAAAGTTCAAAAGCCACCTTCAGAATTGTGTTTATCGCTGCCGTCAATCATAATTACGATCACAAGCAACGAACCTTGAAACAGAGAAACACACAAAACGGATCGAAATCCACAAATCACGAACCATGACCTTTTGAACCCGTGAAGTAAAGTTTTGTTTCCTAAGAGGTCCGTTAAGATGATTGACAGCAGCGAAAAACGCAATCGTCGGTTGGGTTCTGAACTCCAGAATTCGCATGTTTGTGAAAAGTGCGATCCTAATTTGCGGTCCACAGTCTACATGAAAACGCACTATTTTTTCCACAAGATGAAAAGTAATCAGTTTCAAGATTTTCCTCACGGTATTTTTCTCTAACTTAAAGGAATAAAATCCTTTGCATTTTGAGACCTAAAAAAGTTTAAAGATTTCTCGCTCGCATGTTGCGTTCACCAGCACGCACTTCAAACAATGTAAATAGATGAAACGATCGATAACATATTTTTTACCTGATACCGATGTGAGTTAAAAATTCGCTCCAGTTCTGTTTGTCTCACCCAAGACTAACTTTTCTTCATGGAAACTATGCCGCTTTATAACTCGTCCGAGGTTTTTGTGCCAGCTAAACAATATGGAAACACTATTCACAGTGACTCCTTGGATATTAAAAAGACTGAACGTGACGCACTATTATGCCTTTGTTTACTTCTGATCACATCTTCAAGCGAAGTCTCC